GGGGGTCGTGCACAGAACAGAGCGGTTGCCGGGCCCTGATCTACTTTGCGCAGTCCCTCACTTAGCTGCTTCAAAGGACCCAAATTCTAAGGGTCATTGAAGGGCCACGCAAAAAGACCATCCACCCCCTCAGTAGGTTCCATCACTGACCAGGATCTTACATGGAGAGATGGTCTGCCAAATGAGCACCAAGATCTTGAGCAGATGGCATGGAGATGCCAAATGCTGACGCATCCTTGAACCCTTCTTCTGCCAGACCAAACAATTAGAAGTCAGGGACAGCTTGTTTCTTTGAATTGACCAGACATCTATGACAACAGCAACAGCAGCTGAGCCAACCACTGTTGTTGTTTTTTTTCTGGGCATGCTGCGCCAATCGGCGTGGGCATGCACAGTTCTCATCCAGCTATGGCGAAGTCAGCTTGTGGCTGGTCAAGGTTTTATTCCTGCCATTCCCAGACTTGTTCCACAGCGAGCTGGAGTCATCAATGATTCTCCCACTGCCGGGTCTCTTGGCGACGTGAACGGTCTGAAAGATCTGAAGACCGGATGAGCGCGGGCGGACGTCCCTTTTCAGGTTGAAAGCTGTCAACCCGAGAGGCTGGGCTGTGTGGGGTTCTTTCAGCGAACCGAGGCCTTGGGTCATCTACGAGCTTCGACTCTTCTTTTCGGCCGAATGTGATCCAACGACTCAGATCACGCCCTTTTTCACCGACGTCTATGACACCGGGACCCATCGTGAGACCCAGCTCTACACCAACGGACAGTACGTCTTCGATGGCGCGGAGTACACCAACTGGACCGCAGAGCCTCGGACGGGCTGAGGGCGGGGTGGGGCCAAGCGGCACTAGCGATGGCCTCCATGGAACTGAGCCAGAGAGGGCAGCGAAGCGGAACGTTGGAGATGTAGACATCACGTAGAATCGATTCAAGTCGCAGCCAGATCAAACCCGGGGCCTGCCGGTGGACTGTTCATGGTTCTCAGTCACATCCCATCAAGCCGATTGGTAGAGGAACAAATGGTCAGCACCTGGTGTGGGGGCACAAGGAAGACAAAGGCGGCCCATCCGGCCTTCACCGTCACAGTCCGGTCCCTCTGACTGAGGATTGTCGGGTTCAATTGGGCGGTTGCCCTGCGCGCACGGTGAGCGTGGGCGTGGATATCTCCTACATGGATGCCTTTGAGGAAGCCTTTGCTCGGAAGGATTCCTCCTGGAACGTCACAGGCCGAATGGTGCGCTTGGGGCACGGTGGTTTGGAAGCTGGGGTCGACTCCAGGTCGATCTCGAAAAGGGATTTCAACAACCTACTACCTTCTTGTTCCTAGTAGTAATGGCCTCCAACCTGGTAGCGCTCTAGACGCCTTTCGACATTCCAATGGGTGTTCTTCCTTGTTCCTAGTTGCGATGCCCTTGTTACTAGTAGCTTCTTGCTACTAGTAGTAATGCCAGGAGCTACTAGTAGCTTCTTGTTACTAGTAGCTACTAAGAAAGTGTTTTTGACTTTTTCTTGGGGGAATCCCACTCACTCGGGATCTCGGCAAGAAGCACTTTCAAATTCGGGTTGGGGCTGGGAGCTTTTGGGAGGCCCCTTGTTCGATGCCATCACCGTGAAATGCTTCCGGATTTGGCAGAGTGCGGAGCCTGCGCACAAGTGCAATGACATTGGTAGCTTCGGCTTGGAAAAGGGACGACAGGAGCGATCCCCAGCAATTGGACAGTTGTTTCATGTTGTTGCCTATCCATTTGGGGACCACAATTGTCTTTCTTTCGAGCCACCCAGTCACCCAGTTCTTTGCTTTTGGGCGGAGCTGGTCACTCACCCTACTTCCAAAGAACCCAAATCGACCTGGATTTGGGGACCCAAAATAAAGCTTCAACTCTCCGAGCAGTCTCCTTGGCATTGAGGGACACATAAGGACAATATGGTAACTGTTTTGCTTATCTCTTTGGAAGCAGGATTCACTCTGGGTGCTGACCTCTGCGTGCCACTCAAACAAAATGTTCCATCGAAAAGGTTCCATCAAACAGATGTGCAGATTCACTTGATCTCTCCACAATCCTTATCGGAGTCGGTCCGCCATCTCCGAGGCATCGTCCGTGGCTATGTGGACGGCAACGACTGGTTCTACGACGTGGTGCAGGTCTTCCACGCCGTGAGCGGTGGCGGCTGGGCCAGGCCGCGGTGGGCGCGGTTGGCGCGCCCTTTGCTACGTTCGTAGGATCCTCTTGCTCCTAGTAGTAAGGCCAGGAGCTCCTAGTAGGGTCCTTGCTCCTAGTAGTAAATGCCCTTGTTACTAGTTGCTTCTTGTTCCTAGTAGTGAGGCCAGGAGCGCCCCTAGCAGCGTCCGATCGCTCCGCTCGTAGCGATGCCCTTTGCTCCTAGTCGCGTCCTCTTGCCCAGTTTGGTTCCAACGAGTGGTGTGTAATCTGAGGAAAGTGGTATGTCGGAAAAGTGGAGACGTGGAAAGTGGACGTGCGTGAAGAAGTCCGAGAAAAACGGCGATCCATCCAACTAGGAGCAAGAAGCTATTAGGAACAAAGGGCATCGCTACTAGTAGCATTCTTACTACTAGTAACAAGAAGCTACTAGGGGCTCCTGGCCTTACTACTAGTAACAAGAAGCTACTAGGAACAAGTGCATCGCTTCTAGTAACAAGTGCCTTACTAGTAGTAACAAGAAGCTATTAGGAACAAGTGCATCGCTTCTAGTAACAAGTGCCTTACTACTAGTAACAAGAAGCTATTAGGAACAAGTGCATCGCTTCTAGTAACAAGTGCCTTACTAGTAGTAACAAGAAGCTATTAGGAACAAGTGCATCGCTTCTAGTAACAAGTGCCTTACTAGTAGTAACAAGAAGTTACTAGGAACAAGTGCATCGCTTCTAGTAACAA